CGGGCGGTCTGCGGGCGGTTCTCCTTTTGCTCCTCCATGGCGGCTGCAGCGGCGGCGGCGGGAACCGCGGCAGGGACGGCGGCCCGGCGGGGGCGGAGAGAGCGGGGCCCGCCCCTGGGCGGAGCGCCGGCCCCGACACCGCCGCCCCGCTCCTTCGGCTCCGTAGGACGCGAGCAGCTGCGCGGCCGCGGCTCCCGGCGTCCCTCCCTGGCATCCATCACAGTGGTGGGCATGTGCCACGCGTGTCCGGGCCGCCTCCCCCCGGCTGGCCCGCCGGCCCTCGGCCCTGCCCCTCTGCAGCAGCATCTCCTCCTCGTACGCCTGCCTCATCCCCCTGGGCTTTTGCCCAGCAGTCCCCCGGGGGTTTGGGGCCACGGCATCTCTCTGCAAGCTCTGTCCGTGTTACGGGAAACACACACTGGACAGACACTTCATTTATGCCTCCGTGCKCCTTCTCATGAAAATGACTTTGCAGAGAGCACCCGAAACACGAATCTGGGACACCCGCGGTGTATTGGTCACAGCCACCAGAGGGATGCAGGCCCAGTTGGGAAGGGCCCCAAACCCCTTCCTGCCAAGGAATTTGCCTTGCCTGCTGTTCCCCATATCCCATATTCCACAGCCACCAAGCAGGGTGGGGTGGGTGGCACGGGACATGTGTAAGCTCTCTGGATCTTCTTGGCCAAGAGGTGAAGCCTCTCTGTCCATCACAGGTCAGTTTATTTTTTACTGGTGCTTCCCACAGTCCTGAAGTGCAGTCCGGTGTCTCTCAGTGATGGAGACGGATGTATAYTGGCACCTGATGCAGCAACACCAATACCTCTCCATCTGCCAGCCACTAAACAGCCCAGAATCTCTTCTGCCCTGTTGTAGCCGGGGCCCCACCACCCCTCAGCTGTGCCTCCCCTCTCACTCTGGCACACCAGGATCTCGTGGCAGATGCTGACATCCCCTCCCCTAGACCTGCTGTGCAGCATTTATCATCTTCGRTGGGTGTGCCATGGAAGCCCTATCCTGTCTTCTCCAGATGGAGTGATGACAGAAGTCACACGCAAGTGCTCGGGACGATGTGCGTGTCCTGGTTTTGGMCAGGATAGTTGATTTTCTTAGACGCTGGGGCATTGCTGTATTTTTTTGTTTTAATATGAGAATATTGTGGATTWCACACTGATGATTTAGTTGTTGCTCAGTAGTGTTCACTTACTTTTCAGTTTCCCATGCTCTGCAGTGAGAAGGTGCACAAGCTGGGAGGAAGCACAGTCAGGACAGCTGACCTGAACTGGCCAAAGGGATATTCCATACCCTGGAACACTGTGCCCATACATAAATGGWGGGGGGGAAGGAGGAGTTGACTAGGAGCTGCTGATGCTCATCCCCCTTCACTGCGTGATGGGCTGGGAATTATTAAGAGATGAGCAAGTGTATCATGCATCACTTCTATTTCTTGAGTTTTACTCCACTCTTTCATTGCAATTAGTATCATTAATAYTCTATTTTACTTGGCTTCCATTATTAAACTGCTCCTAACCCATGGATTTTGCTTTTTTTTTCTATTTTTCTTCCCACCAGGAGGTGGTAGTGAGTGAGTGAGCAGCTGTGTGATGATGCTTCGTTTCCAGAAAGGGTTAAACCACAGCAGAGGGAAGGGATTTGCTCCCTTTTTGAATCCACCCTCCCGGTGCTGCCACAAACGCCTTTGTTGCCAAGCAGAGGAGCACCGGCCTTACTACTCTGCCTCCAAAACCTGCTCTGAACATGAGCAGGGAGCCACGCCTTATACAAATGCAAACAACATGGTACCAATAAGAACCACTGAGCCGGCCTCACAAACCCATAAAATACCTTAAAATGTAGTGGGAAGAAAGGCTGTTCCCCAGAAATCACGTGCCTTGCTGGAGTGGGCAATGGTTCACAGGGTTTAAACAAGAGGCGCCATGCTCAGATTCACTCAGTGGCAAATCTCTTCATGACTTCATTGCAGCACAGATCTGCAACTGGATGCAGACCCTGCCTGAGCCAGAGCCCAAGGAGGCACTTGCAAGAGGAAAAACAAATCACACAGCCAGGAGTCCCTGGAGATTGAGATCACTTTTATTTTCAGTCATTTTGGCGAGGATGTGTGGGCAAGTGTGGGTGTGGTGCGTGTATGTCTGGGCATGCATGTGTGTGTGCGCAGAGTCCTGCCCAGTGATGTAGATTATATGAATACCTGCAATTACAGTCCATGAACTGAGCCATGAAGCGTGTCATGAGTGCTACACTGAGGCCCACTCGCTTGCCTCATCTTGTGCTTACTGCAGTGCAGCATCTCCACCTCCTGGCACTGCTGTTCCAAGGATGCCAGCCCAAGATCCCATCCAAAGGGCACGAGAGGAACTGAGCTCCACGATCTGGCTCTGCAGGAGTGAGCCAGTGGATTTTCATCTCACTTAGTGAGCTCCTAAATAACATTTGCAGTTCCCTTTGACACAACCGTATCTAACTCCTCATGGTGAGGAGCTTCTACTGCTTTGACAAATTTTAACTGCCTCAGAGGTACAACGGGGAAGASAACAGGGACCCCATGTAAGCTCCAGTGCTACAGCATAGCCAAGCACATCTTGAGTTCCAGGGAAAGCAGCACCCAAATACACTACTGAGTTTTTACAGCCACCTGAAACTGTGGCATGGGGGATGCTGCAAGGGAGATGACCCATACTTCTGCAGACCCCAGTCTCYTCCATCTGATCTGAGAGACCATAAGGCAGGTTAAATCCCGATCTAGGCTCTCCTTCAGTTAAACTTTTTATAGCTGAATCCCCCAAGCTCAGAGCAGAGACATTGCAGAAATAACAGCCTTGAAAGGAGACCAGTCAAAGGCCTTGTGGCAGGCTGGAAACAATCTTATTTTTCTGACCTTTTTGCTTAGAGCACAGTTAAAACAGAGCTGGTCCCACCACTCAAGACCCTCTGCAGCTGTCAGAAGTACTCCTGAAAGCCATAAAATAACCTAGATGTGCAGCATYGCCCTTTGGGCTTGCTCTCACTCACCTCTACAGATTTGTATGCTGCTTAGGGACATGCAATTTCTCACGTTACACAGACCCAGAAGAAGGCAAAGCTGCTACCCTGGGAGTTTCACTTGGACGGATGCAGGTTTGAATCCCAGGTTTTGCTTCAGAGTGTAACACAAGGTACTCCAGGACATCTTCCAGATGCTGAAAGTCCTGCAGTACAAAACAGCTCGCCAGCCCTGCTTCCAAACCTGTCTGAACCAGTTTCAGCAGGAAGCCAACTGGTCAAGCAACGGGTCTGCAAACCAATAAGCAAAACCAGCACAATCRTTTTGAGTGAAGTAGGCATCTAGGAGATTGCCAGGAGATTCTCCTCCTATTCCAGAGGGGTTAAATTMATTGTCAGCTCCACAGGGCGACAGCTGATGCCCCAGTCCTTTCTGACCTCTTTAGAATACATCTTCAGGCAAGGCTGCAGAGTGCTCCACAGAGGCCTTGGTAATTTCTAGAAGTTTGGTAACTCTCCGAGCAGGGACAAGAACAGGAACATAATACACACTCTGAACTCAAGTATCTGCTGTTAGGGCACTTTTTTCAAGCCCTCTTTCCTTGTGGCTTAATTAATGAAAAATGACAGATCCATCAAAAATACAGGGCCCTCTTCCCTGGGGCTCAGGGATATTAAGTGGGGTCTGAGGCAGGAGCTCAGCAAAGGGACACTGTATGAAGATCCCAGGATGCATCCTTAAAAGACAGCGAGAGCAAAATCAAAACTACTATGAGCCGCTTGGTTTGGTTCTCCTGCATGAGTCTCCCACCTGGCAATTGCAAAGGGGAGATAATTCTGAACTGCATAGAAAATTAAATGGCTTTTGCATATTAAAAAAATTCAGATGAAAACATAGTTACACCAGTTACTAAACAGTGGGTGGATGAGCAATCATCATTTCATATGAAATAGACCCAACTAGATTGATCTCCATACTGCCACACTCCCGGCATTACGGCTTCAGTGCACAGCAGCAGACTAAATGCTGCRAAGGCCAGGAAATGCCGTGCTCCCACGGAGGTGGCACGCCCCAGCAGGAGGGCTGTGGTCCCAAGGAGCAGGCTGTAAGACGTCTGCTCTGTCCTCTCGCTCCTTCAATGCTCACGCATCCCAGACCAGATGGGCACACTGGGAAACAGGCCTCCGGCTGGAAAAGGATTCCAGTTTGTGGTTTCTTTACAATGTGGTTTCCACGCAACTTCACAGCAACAAATCGCTAGTTTCTTCCTATGGAGAACGGAAAGAGAGGTGAGTAGCAGCAAAACAGGAGGAGAAGGCTGCCCAGCATGG